ATAGTAGTTTGTATATATATATATATATATATATATATATGGAGATGAGGGGAGAAACGTTACAAGCCTCTTCCCTGAATAAGAAAGGGGAAGCGGAGAGAAAGAGAGGACTGAGAATTTACTCGATCCAGATATGAAACCCAAATTTGAATGATATCTCAATCCAGGTATAGACTCAAGATTTTGATTCAAAATCTGGATCCAGATCCAAATTTTAGATTTGAATAGTAATTCTGGTCAGATTTATGTATAGGTGGATCTGATCCACATCCGACCGATTATATATATATATATATAGAAAAATTGTTTCATGTGGGCTGGACCGCATTCCTACAATATGCAGTCCAAAGGTATAAAGCATCCATCTTAAAGATGGATGCAAATAGGTGGTCCATTTAAAAACAAGTGTAACTAACGGTCCAAATGTTTTTTTAATATAATTATTATTCGTAGCTTTTATTTTATTTTTTTCTTATTCATAGTCTCCATGTTAATGATTATATATCCTCTAGAAATTAGGGTCAAATTATATATTTAAAAAATTAAGCATTGCTTTACAATTTGTTATTATTACTATTCCTATCGAGAATCCAAAAAGTGTAATTTGTGTCACTTAGCGCAAATGAAAATTTCAGATCTTGAAAATCCGGAAAAGGCAGTTTGATAATTTTTAAAATGCCAACAAAATGTTTAATAATGAATATAAAACGGGTAGAGTAGTAATGACAGAAATTTTAGTTGTAATATCATTAAAAATAATAGATGTATATATAATTTTTCTTTATTACTATTATCATTATTTCTTTGGAGTAATCAATTGAATATCTCGCAAATTTTATTGGTTATTGTTCTCCATTACATTTATTTGCAAGCATTTACTTTTTTGGACTGAAAATTCATATTTTTCATGTTTGAGGTTGAGAAGCAAAGCACGTGTTATTTAACAGGTAAGGGTCCCTCTACGAAGGGTGCCGAAATTTCACGAAAACTAGGCCATACCGCTTTTCAACGAGATCTCCAGAAATTCGTTTTCCTTATAGATCTCTTGGACCACTCACATCTCATTTACCTGATGTAGGGGCGGGAATGGATCCGATTAGATCCGGGATCTGACGAGTATACCCGACCTCAGGTTTGGGTATAGATCCAAGTTTTGGACCCGAATACTATTTGGGTTCGGATTGGTTCTCGGCCATAGTCATAAGATATATGAAGGCAACCGCGTGTCTTTAGGCATGTACTACGTGTTAATATTAACAACATCTACAATATTATTAGCAAAAAAAGAAGTTCATGGCCAGGGTATATGATGATTAAAAAAAAAGTAAAAATAAAATAAAAAATAAACTCAGTCATATGTGGTAATGAATTCAACTAGACTTGAGACCCAATGGGTCTGCGTACATGACCAAATTTTGGATTCGTATACTATTAGGGCCTAAGTCAGGGTCCAGCCGGACCGGACCGGTTGCCACCCCTAATATGAGGGCTTGTGAATAGTTCTAACGTGCCTAAAATAAGGAAGAGTTTCAACCTTAACCCCCTAAAAAAAGACAAAAAAGAGAGGACATGGAACCCTCCTTCTTTCTCTCTCCAAGACATGGCCTCTGCTTCTCTCTCCCTATTCTCCTTCTCTCTCACAAAGACATGGTGTTTTCCTCCTGTGTTTTTTCTCTCTCTTGGTTTGTAATTTTCTTTTCCTTTTTCTCTCTCTCCAAAATGGAGAAAAGCCTCATGTGTAAGGCAAGGATAATGTTTGCCAAAAAATTTCATTTGTATTCAAGTTGAAGCTGAATTATCAAATTCAAAGGGGACAAGATCTAGAAGAGAAGTTAAAAGAAGTTTATTAAGTGTGCGCAAAGATGAATGACCTCTTCTCAGGATCATTTAAGAAGTACACAGATCTGAAGAAACAGGTGGTGTATGATATGGAAGGTGGAATAGGGGAGAGGGTCGAGGGGGAGGCAGTCAGAAAAGAGACCATAAATCTCGACCACTTCTTCGAGGATGTCGAGAACGTGAAAGAGGACCTCCACGTCCTCGAGCGGCTGTACCAGCAGCTCCAGGACGCGAACGAAGAGAGCCGGACCGTGCACAATGCCAAGACCATGAAAGAGCTCCGTGCTCGCATGGACAAGGATGTGGAACAGGTGCTCAAAAAAGCAAAGGTAGTTAAGGGAAAGCTCGAGGCCTTGGATCGTTCCAACGTGGCCCACCGGAACCTTCCGGGATGCGGCCCGGGGACCTCCGCAGACCGCACCCGAACATCGGTTGTCAGCGGCCTCGGGAAGAAGCTCAAGGATCTAATGGATGGGTTCCAATCCTTGAGAACCAGGATAGGTGCGGAGTACAGAGAGACCGTGGAGCGTAGATATTACACAGTTACTGGAGAATTACCAGATGAGGGGACCATGGACCGGCTCATCTCGACCGGAGAGAGTGAGACATTCATGCAGAAGGCGATCCAACAGCAGGGCCGAGGCCATGTACTCGACACCATTTCTGAGATACAGGAGCGGCACGATGCGGTAAAGGATATCGAACGGAATTTACTAGACCTTCACCAGGTTTTCTTGGACATGGCTGTTTTGGTGGAGGCACAAGGGCAACAGCTCAACGACATCGAGAGCCATGTTGCGCACGCCAATTCGTTCGTCCGACGAGGGACCGATCAGCTCCAAACAGGAAAGGAGCTCCAAAAGAGCACCAGGAGCTGGACCTGCTATGCTACAGTTCTCCTCCTCGTCATCTTCGCACTCATCCTCGTCCCCGTCCTCCGGTCCCTTCGCTGACATTGTGGCTCAAGCATGTACATTGTGCATGTTCGGAGAATACATTGTCGGCCGGCCGGCAAGATGACTTGAGTGCATTTCTCATACTAGTTGCAGAGAATGTACACTATGATCCATATGACATAGTAACAACATGGTCATAGGGGTAATCATTTCTCAACCAACGAATAGCATCTTTTTCTTGAAATCCTAGCTATTTTTAGCATTGATATTGGTCGCTCATTCTGATAAACCTTTTTTTCACCGAGATGGTAGATCAAATAGATGAAGTAGGAATCAATTTGTATTTTACAGACCGATCCCATCGATAAGTTTGACACCGATGGAGGACAAGGAATCAATTTGGATTCCACAGTCCGATCCCATCGATAAGTCTGACACCGATGGAGGACAAGCGACACATGTCGTCGTTTGATTTAGGACTCTCCGTGTCGAACCCATTGATTGAATGGTGATTAACCCCTATGACCATAATGCTGCCATGATCATATGGACCATAGCATGCTTTCCCTTCGTTCTATGGGGACCAAGGCACTTGGAGGCCTATTTGATTCATTCATATTCTAGTTAGGTTTGGTGGGATTGGAACCAAGGCAACTGGGGTATATTAATGGTTGAGAGTGAACATTTCTCTGGTTAGGTTAGACATTCATTCATTGCGTTGTGCTGCAGCCTTTAATGCCCTAACCACTGAACCAAAACCCTAAACTTTGTGGTAATGGGTTTAATGAAATTGTTTTTTTGCCCTTTTTTCTCTTTCTATTTTTTAATTTTTGCCAGGTTAATTTAATTTTTTTTATTCTTTGATTGGATAAATTGGCAAGGCCACAGAGTTTTGCTTTAATCACTCACACCTGTTTGCATGACCCCATATTGTGATATAATGCAACATATGGGACACCCAAATATAGTATTGAAATAGATCATAAAAATAAATTTTATTTATATATGTGTGTATATATAGATATAGAAATACCCATGAATGAACATATGCCGTATTTCATTTATGGGTCATCGCCGTCCAAAGTCCATCAGATGATCACGGTTGACTAATAGTATTTGAATCTTAATATTTTTTATAAATCAATTAATCTTAAATTCTTTTATTGTTTGTCCATCAATGAGGCACACCTAAATAAAATATAAAAAACCATTCAAATAATAAAAACGACCAAACCCCTATGAATGTCTTAAGGGTATTTTTGCTATTTTCTTGGATAATTTTTTTTTTGGTATTTTATCTTTGCACGAGATGGTTAGATGTCTACACGCGCTAAATTTAAGATAAAATAAATTTACAAAAATAGGGTGGGGCCGGTTTTTATTTTTCAAATTTTCATTTATTCTCTTTCTATTTTAAAATTTTTGTCAATGGAAAAAATAGGGTTGCACCGGATGGAGATGATTAAATTAATTCGTGTTAGAAAATCTTACATAGATCAATGCGTGGGATGCCGATTCGCGTCCCATTAACCTAGACTTGGCTGAAGGGCCCATGGCCCAGACTGGGCAAGGTGGGGCCAAGCATATTAGAAAAACAATAAGGAAAAAATAGGGCTGCACCAGCCCTATAATGGTACGGTCGGGCTGCCCAAGACCCTAGTTTTTCAAGGTCGGACCAGGCTGCCAGACCATTGCTGGTCCTACTAATAAGGTCCTAGATGGATCCGGACTTGGGTGGAGCCCAGACCAAGTGAACCATGACCTAACGTGCCAGGTCTAGTATACAAGTCCGGACCCGAAACAAGGATGAATTGAACCTTCAAGTCGGTGGTCCAACGTCCTGATTGCCACCTCTAACCTAAGCCATCCAATGCAAAATCCGACAGGTTCGGTGTCCACATATGATAGGTGCCCAACCATTTCATTTCACATCAGACCGCTTGGATTGTTATATACCTTCTCGTCTCCTCATTATATAGGCAATAGGGGAAATATATAAGTATGAGAGAATCACAATCATTCTTGACAATCGGGAGATCAAGCAGCAAGGATTGTGTCAATTTTCATGCAAAGTTCAAGTAAAATTTTACTAACTTTGAACTATATGAATTCACACTCCCTGACCACCCAAATTCACATTGATGAATAGAGGTGGTAATTTACTTGTGACTAAGGTAAACAATCTTATAATATAAAAACATTGTATTACCCCAGCTTAAATAAATTATATAGTGAGCGAACAATATGAAAATATAGAACTACATCATGAGATCGTGTATTATACTTTGTATAAGCATTCAAGACTCTTACTTAACATCTATTGCCCATGCTTAGATGATGGAATTAACCTTTCCCACAAAAAATGACTCATCCTGAGAGAACCAATCCAAAAACACACATAAAATATCCCATCCAGATACACAGAGTCCATCAAGCCACAACAAACCATGATTTATATAGAGATCTAATAATCGAAACTTGGATAGAATGATGGAGTTTCAAACTTTTGTAGAGAGGAACATCACTAGATCACTTTGATACTTGGGGCAACTAGTGTGGTGTAGTATCACCTTACATCAGCTTGAAAAAGTACTCTTGCCCTCCATAGTTCTTCAAGGCCTGTGGAGGCGGGACCCACGCAAACCCGTGGGCTCCGCCTCTCAGTTGTCCGCACATGAGCTCTGTGGCCCTCATGTCCACCTTAGCCTTGAGTTCGAGCAATGCATTGAGATATTGCTCGAGTTGGTAACCACAAGAGCTCTACAGGTTAGCATCCCACCAAAATTGTTGCTGGCCCATTGGGCCTGAATGGTCTTGTTGGGCCTTTTGGGCTAAAGAAGTCCCCCTTCTTCTCGGCCTCTAATTGGCAATGGAGCTCAGCGTATTCGCATACAAGCCCATGAGTGGGCCCATTTGGCCCTGGGGTGGGCTCGATGGGCCCACCAGTTTGGTGGTGCGTGAAACAATCAAGAACCGAGTCAACACATGGGTGGCCAAAAGTGTAGGCCTTGCTAGCTAGCGAGAACACGATGACTGCCACCTCAGCACCACATAGGATGCAGAGCTCTGAGGCTTTCTTGAATGGTCCAGCTCGGCGTTTAGAGAAACAGACCTAGGGTTCCCAAAATTTGAAATAAATAAATAAAGATTGAATTGAATTTTTAAAAGTGATATCTAACTCTTATCATATTTGTAGTCGTCATATCAAGAATCTGTTGATAACAATACTATACATTAATGCATATAATAACTTTTTTTTAATAAAAAAACTAGTAAAAGGCATGCGCTCCGCACGTATGAGAGTTTTATTTTACAGGTTTTTCTTTTTTTCTTTTATTTTTATTTTTGGGACTGTTAACTTTTATCTCAAAAAGAATATTATTCTTCTTCAATAAAAAAATTTGAGCTTTGATTACGTAGTTGTTAACTGAGGGAGCACACGTTTGTTTCCTCTAGTATTTGAAAAATCATTGATCTGGATCAGCAATTTGACTTATTCCTTGGGAACCATTTAATTAGGTCGCAACTGGCCTAGTTTTGGGTTGTATTTTTTTTTTAATTAACCAATCAGCTGCCTGTCCATCTAAATCGGTCTCCCAGATGGGAGATTCACCTTGATATTTTGGATTTTAAAATAATGATTGGACTGGCAACATTTATGAAATGAGTGTAGAATATTGTCGAAGAATATTAAGAAAATTGTTTGACAAAAAAAAATTAATAAAATAATATCATGATGTTATAATTAATAATGAAAAGACAAGAGATATAATTCATAATGAACTCAATATTTCTATTTATTTTTTATATCAATCTATTTTTATACATTTAAATATAATTATTTTTTTATTGGAAAACGATCCTGTCAGCTCAAAGGTTGATTGTTACAGTATCAACCAACGGTCTAGATTGAATCAAGTCCGATCTGACGGTTACGACCTCATTTTGTATTTGAATTTTTATTTTATTTTTTTATAAGTCCAAATCACTTAAAAGTTAAGCTGTTCATTCTTCTCATCAAGGCGCACTAAAAAAAATATAAAAAATTATAATTCAAAAAATATAAATTGATCAAAATACCCTCGAAAATTTTTGGGGTTATTTTGGTCAATTTATATTTTGTGAATTTTTTTTATTAAATTCTCTTATTTTTAAAAAATAGACAATCAAAATTTTAAGTGATTTAGATTTGTATAAAAAAATAAAAATTCAAATACAAAATGAGGTCGTAACCAATGGATCGGGCCCCGATTCAATCTGGGCTATTGGTTGACACTGCAGCAGTTAGCCAAAGGCTGAAGCAGTTAGCCTATGGCTGAAGCAGTTAGCCTATGGGCTGACAGGATCATTTCCTTTATTTATTATTCATACTATGGCTTAATTATATATCAATATACTTTTTTTGTATTTTTTTGGAACAATTTTTAGACTAGTCAAGACCTGCCGGTTGAACCAATCGGTTTACCGATTAATTAAAACTGGCTTTCAGTCAGTTTTCAAGGCTAGTTTGACTTTTTGAACACCAGATGGAATTATCTTTAGTTACAAGAGACCGGCCGTTTGAGGTGCCAAGAGACTAGCGAAGGAGAAGGTTCAAGCTGCCATGGCATCATTGTTGATGACTGAAAGAGAGCTTCTTCCTTGCATTTTTTGGTGGGAGGAGAATTACTGTGTTTGGTGGGAGGAGAATTACTGTTTAAAGAGAAGGAAGAGGGTACAAATGGGTGAGATAGGAAAAGGGCAAAAAAGTAATAAAAAATATATATGGTGATCAGCCACTATAGATCATGATCCAGCTCCAAGGATCATGCTGTTACTATGGATCATACAATAGTTTCTCATAAATAAAAGAGAGAAAAAGATAACAAAAGAAGCCAAATAATTTAAAGAAATATGTACAATAAGATTATTTATTTTTTGTACAAAGAAGTCACAATTATGATTGACCTTTAGATTTAAAATTGGGTGGTTGAGGATGTGTTATAGTTTAGACACAAAATCTCAAACAAAATTTATCGAATGTTGTGACACACTCTCATTTATTGAATTTTAGATTCACAGGTTAAAAGTGATTGTGACCTCTTTATATCAGAAATGAAATAGGAGGTGAGAACCTGGCGTGCTTCTCGGTCGTCAATCTTTTTTATTTCGATTTTGCACCGCCCCATTTCCAGCCTGCTCACCGTAACATAACACTGCAAGAGTGAGAGAGAGATAACAGATAGATAAAAGAGAGAGATGGTAAAATAGTGGGAAATATCTGTTTTTGGCAATAGAAATGAAAACTTGTTTGTTATATATTTTGTAATGAAGGATGGCCATTACAATTGGCTATTCAAATCTTTTGACACTGTATCTTGTTAATTATTAGTGGCAAATTTATTTTGTAACATACAATCAGGATCTTACAGCTTGTCTTTTTATCCACAGGAGTTATTTAGAATGAAAATTTTTATTAAAAATAAGCCAATTTTAATAAAAAATCTCGATTTAATAAATCTTGTAACATTCATATAAGAACCTGCCCTATTTTGAGTGATTCTTTATAAATCTTTTAATATTCACTCTTTAGAAACTTGCATATTTTGAGTGATTTAGTTTCCTTTAATCTTCGACAAATCTTATAACATAGATAGGTAAAATATTAAAAAAAATACACAAAACTCTGTCTATATTCTCATCCTACTTTCTCTCTCTACTTTCTCACCCTTCTTTCTCTCTCTACTGTCTCAGTGACCGGGACAATCGAATGGCATTTCCACCATCCGATCTCTTTAAGACGCTTTTGCTGCAAGCAAGGCTGTCTGATTCCTCGCCTCCATGGCATTGGACGGCCCGGATCTCATTCACACACACCACAACCACATGCCTCAGCAAGTTTCCGTTTAATATACGAC